GACTATTTGCTCAGCATACAGATTGAATATGTATGGTGAAAGGATACAACCCTGACACACACCTTTCCTGACTGTAAACCACACAGTACCCTCTTGTTCTGTCCAAACAACTGCCCTTTGATTTATGTACAGGTTCCTCATGAGCACAATTAAGTGTTCCGGAATTCCCATTCTTCTTAATGTTATCCATAATTTGTTATGATCCACACAGTAGAATGCCTTTGCATAGTCAATAAAACACAAGTAAATATCTTTCTAGTATTCTCTGCTTTCAGACAAGATCCATCTGACATCAGCAATGATATCCTTGGTTCCACATCCTCTTCTGAATCCGGCCTGAATTTTGGCAGTTCCCTGTTGATATACTGCTGCAGCCACTTTTGAATGATCTTCAGCAAAATTTTACTTGCATATGATATTGATATTGTTCGATAATTTCTGCATTTGGTTGGATCACCTTTCTTGGGAATAGGCATAAATATAGATCTCTTTCAGTCGGTTGGCCAGGTATCTGTCTTCCAAATTTCTTGGGAAAACGATATAGCACTTCCTTAAAAAGCTACAAACAGTAATACCATATGATCCAGCAATTCCACTCCTGGAAATAAATGCTGAAGAAATAGTAGCCGTCACACAAACAGATATATGCACACTCATCTTCATTGCAGCATTATTCACAATAGCAAAAAGATGGAAATAACCTAAATGCCCATCAAAAGATGAATGGATAAATAACCTATGGTACATACACACAATGGAATACTACACAACGATAAAGAACAATGATGAATCTGCAAAGCATCTCATAACATGGATGAATCTGGAGGGGGTATTATGCTGAGTAAAGTAAGTCAACCACAAAAGGGCAAGTATTATATGAGATCATTACTATAAAAGCTCATGAAAAGTTTTAGAGAAAAAAAAAAAGAATCTTTGATGGTTACAAGGGACGGAAGGAGTGGGAGGGAAAAACACTAAATTCTATTTTACTTATCAAGAGATAAGTAGTAAGTTTTGTGAAGGGTAAGACAGTACACAGTACTGGGAAAACCAGCACAACTCGTACAAGCCAAGGTCATGGAAGCTCCATAGACACATCCAAGCTCTCTGAGGGACCAAATTACTGGGCTGAGGGCTGTGGGGATGATGGTCTCAGAGAACATCCAACTGAATTGGCATAACTGAGTTTATAAACAAAATGTTCTACATACTACTTTGGTGAGTAGTGTGTGGGGTCTTAAAAGCTTGTGAGCGGCCACCCCATTTAGAGCAAGAGATAATGAAGAACACCAAAGACACAAAGGAAAGGTTAGTCCGAAGAACTGATGGACCACAACTACCACAGCCTCCACCAGACTGAATTCAGCAAAACTAGACAATGCCCAGCTACCACCACCGACTGCTCTGACAGGGATCACAACAGAGGATCTCGGACAGAGCTAGAGAAAAATGTAGAACAAAATTCTAACTCCAAAAAAAAAAAAAAAAAACACACTTACTGACAGAGACCTGACAGAGACTGGAGAAACCCTGAGAGTATGGCCCCTGGACACCCTTATAGCTCAGTAATGAAATCACTCCTGGGATTCACTCTTCAGCCAAAGATTAGACAGGCCCATAAAACCAAATGAGACTAAAAGGGCACACCAGCCCAGGGGCAAGGATGAGAAGACAGGAGGGGACAGGAAAGCTGGTAATGGGGAACCCAGGGTCAAAAAGGGCATAGTGTTGACATGTCATGGGTTGGCAACCAATGTCACAAAACAATATGTGTATTGTTTAATGAGAAACTTGTTTGCTCTGTAAACTTTCATCTAAAGTACAATTAAAAAATTAGAATTTAATTTTTTGTGGTCCATCAGTCCTTTGGACTAATCTTCAATTCAATTTCAATTTAAAAAAAAGAATTCTATATCTGGAAAAACTATCCTTCACAAATGAGGAGAAATTAAGATATATCCAGATAAGCAAAAGCTAACAGAATTCATCTTTACTAGGCCTGCCCTACAAGAAATGCTAAAAACCAAACCCAAACCCATTTCCATCAAGTCCATTCCGACTCACAGCAACTTTATAGGACAGAGTAGAACTGCCCCATAGGGCTTCCAAGGAGTGGCTGGTGAATTTAAACTGCTGACCTTTTGGTTAGCAGCTAAGCCATTAACGACTGTGCCACCAGAAATGGTAAAGGGAGTCCTTAAGATTCAAACAAAATGATACTAGATGGTGACTAAAAGACATATGAAGAAATAAAAATCTCTGGTTAAGGTAACTGTTGTTGTTGTTAGGTGCCATTGAGTAGATTCTGACCCTATGTACAACAGAAGGAAACACTGCCCAGTCCTGCACAATTGTCACAATCGTTGCTATTATCTGAACCGATTGTTGTTGCCTCTATGTCAATCCATCTCACTGAGGATCTTCCTCTTTGTTGCTTACTCCCTACTTTACCAAGCATGATGTCTTTCTCCAGGAACTGGTCCCTCCTGATAACATGTCCAGAGTAAGTGAGAAAAAGTCTCACCATCTTCACTTCTAAGGAGCATTCTGGCTGTACTTCTTCCAAGACAGATTTATTTCCCAGAAGACAGGAGGAGGGAATGGGGAGTGATTATTTAATGGGTATGTTTAAAGTTTTGAAACTAGACAGAGTGGTGGTTGCACAACATTTTGAAGACTCTAAATGCCACTGTATTATATACTTTAAAATGGTTAATAGTATGATTATGGTTAATTTTTTGTTAATAAAAAAAAGACACCCTGAGAGTACAGATCCAGTGACCACCAGCCCTGTGCAGACTGAGGATGAGCTTGTTATGATGGCCAGGTCATGATGCAAGAAGGCAGTGAGCCAGTGAGTGCACAAATCTTATCAACCCCAGCCTGGTAATCATGATCCCCTGCCTTGGGGTCCTGGTCAAGCTGTCCTCTAAGAGACCAGAATCTGAAATCAGGACATTTGAGCACCATTCTTGGACTTGCCACCACTTTTTTCAGGATGATTTAGGTTCTCTGGGCCTCAACTTTATCTGGTGTGAAGTGGGAAGACTTAACTGAACTTAAGAAACTACTTTTTCCAAATTAAATGACAAAAAAGTCACAGCGGGGGCCTCAATCAAGGAGTCCCCATGCGTGAATAAGCAGATTTCCAGCTTCATCAAAATGGCAGACTAGATTAGCATAGAAAATTCCCAACAACGAACACCGAGAGAGAATGATAAAATAAAAATAGTAGTAGTAGTGATCATGATAATGATTAAGGTGATTAATTGTAAAGCTGAGCTTTATGTGGAAGCCACTGAGTGTCAGAGATAATAAACATACCTGCTGTGGACATAGCATCTTTATAAGGGTGGGGTTAGTGTCAGTCTTGGTTCCTAAATACGTAGGAAGTGCAGGTCTATTAAGGATATGTAACAAATGTTCTCTGGACATTGATGTCTTTGAAGAAGAAATACAATTTTTCATGCGTTCTCCTTTCTCCTAAAAAAAGAAAACAAAACCAGACCATGGGAGAGTATTTAACCACGGAGATATGGTTACAGAAACTGCACCTGCCCCTGCCCCCTGCACACCGCATATCCGACCTCTCCATGTGTGGCTGGGTAGTGCAGGGTGGACACTGGTCAGCACAGAGGGAGGGCTGGACTCCCTGGTCCAGATCCTCTCAGGTGAAAAGTGCTGTGGACTCACCAAGAGGATGGAGCTCCTGCTCTGAGTTCTCCTCCACCAGCAGGGGGCAGCAAATGTGCAGCCAGGAGATCCAGGGAGAAGCTGTTGCACCCAGGTGGAGCCTAAGTGGGAAACCAGCCCTGAGGTGAAGACAACAGATATTCAAGTTCTGTCCTCAGACTGGAAGGTCAGGACACTTCATCCTATCCCTTCAGGCTAGGGAACATGTTCTAAGAGTCAGACCCACCCAGGCAAGAGCCTCGGGACCCTGAGTGAAAGTTCAGGCAAAAAGAGCCTTTACCTGGGAAATGTATATGGAAGAAGCCTGGTTCAGGTGTGACCTGGGAAGCTCCTCCAGGGCTGAGGTTCACTCTGGAGAACACCCCCAGGTTGCGGTGCTCTATGGTGGGCACAAAGAGAGGAAGGAACTCACAGGGCCTGTGTCCTTCCCCTGGGAAAGCTGCATGAGCCTCTCTCCCATCTCAGGGCGGCATCCCCTCACTGTCCAGCAGTGGTCCAGGGAGCTGACCTCTACCCCAGGCATTTCCAGAGACCCCTGACCCCTCCTCCCATTTGTCTCTCCTTCCCACCTCCAGGCCGACTCTGCCCTCAGATAACCCCGCAGGACCCTTGGGGCTGCAGCTTTATGCTTAGGTTCAGGCTCAGGTGGGTGAAATGTAGATCTTGGAGGGCCCTCATTCCTGAATAAGATCATCCAGGCACCCTCAGGAGACTTCTCTGCCTGAGTGACGTGGTGTCTCCCTGCTCAGTTTCACAGCCCTCATCCCTGGGCTGTCCTCGGTTCAGGGACAGAGTTGCCCTCACTTCAGGGTGCACTGATGGTCCAGCCCCCAGAGCCCAGAGCTGTACAAAGACTGTGACCCAGGCACCCCCAGGAGAACACAAGATGCTCAGAATTGGGGTGTCATTCAGGGTGGTTGTTGCAGCTTTTCAGAGGATCACATAAAACATGGATTTTAAAAAAGGAGAAAGAATGAAAGTTCGGTCAATGCCAACTGACAGCCCATTGGGGAGGGGCATCATAGAAGGAATGCTAACACCACATGTGAAATGAGGCTACAAGATGTGATGAATCTGTAAGAGCAGGTTGTTGATTAAACAGGCAAACTATCATATCTGAAACTATTCACAAATTCCTAATGACATAAAAACATGTCCTAATAAAATGCCGAGTAGGGGGACACAGCAAACATTGGGAGACCCAGAAAGGAGATGGAGGAGGAAAAGGAAGGTAATGGAGCCACAGGACCACCTCCTGCTGCATCAGATGCTATCGGTTGTCTCTCAGTGGGGCCCAGCTTAGCCCCATGACCAGGATCCAGGAGGCCGCCAGCCCCTCTGAGCCAGGCCAGGATAAAGGGGCTTGGGACAGCAGTCATGTGGCCAAACTCCAGGAAGGTGACTCTGATTACAGACCTTGAAGCCAGGGCTGATTTTTCCAACTGACAGCAACTCAAAGAAAACTGCTGGAAACTTCAACCCTTCGTCTCTGGCCTGCCCTTCACAGCTGGTTTTAGGGCCCCTCAATTTGTATCCCCAGAGAAGGGAAAATTTCCATAAAGACCAAACAATCTCTGCCCTAAAGGCCTCAGAAGGGAATAAGAGGGTCGTGGGGACCCAGCTGAGCTGCGGACTCAGGAAGCAGCGCTCAGGTGCCTTCACAATGGCCTGGACCCCTCTCCTGCTCCCCCTCCTCACCCTCTGCAGGGTACAGCTTCCCAAGCACTGCCCTTGGGCGCACCCCGACAGAACCCTGAGCTGGACCTGCCCTGAACCCTGAGCTCAGCCCGGTCATGGCCTCAGGGGGGACCTCCTGGAAATGAGTGTCATGGCCTCAGACCCTCCTCTCTTCTCTTCCAGGCTCCGTGGCCTCCTATGAGCTGATTCAACCACTCTCAGTGTCAGTGGCCCTGGGACAGACAGCCAGCATCACCTGCTCTGGAGATAACATTGGGGGTAAATATACTCACTGGTACCAGCAGAAGCCAGGCCAGGCCCCTGTGCTGATCATCTATCAAAATACCAACTGGCCTTCAGGGATCCCTGATCGGTTCTCCGGCTCCAACTCGGGGAACATAGCCACCCTGACCATCAGCAGAGCCCAGGCCGAGGATGAGGCCGACTATTACTGTGAGGTGTGCGACAGTGGTGCTGCTCACAGTGATACAGGCAGATGAGGAAGTGAGGTAGAAACCTGCCCACCAGCCTGGCTTACCCTCCCCATCCCCAAGGTCACACACAGCAAGACAGGGTCTTGCATATGCAGAAGGTGATGCTCCTGTCCACTCCTGGTCACCACATGCTTTCTGATCTTACTCTGATTTGTGAGGAAAGGACATAGCATCCTCATCAATAGCTGCACACTGTGGACATGCTTCCGTGTTGACCTCTGCAAAGACATCTCATCTGGAACAGAAATGGCAAATGGGACAAGTATGTGATTGGATCCTCAGGAATCCACTTTCACTTTCAGGATCCACTCAACTCTTGTAGGGGCAAACTCAACAGAAATATAATGCCCAACTCAATCATGGGTATGTTAGGTCTTCAAAGGTGGCATTAATCTATGCCATTCCTCACCTGATATCCATATGTAATAGGTTTTTTAGTGAATATGTTGGATGAGGTGAGGATGAAGAAACATTCAGGATTCACAAGGTGGCCTTCAGACTCCAGTATCTCTTCCCTACAGGCCAAAACATCAATGTGGGGATGGTGCCTGGACACTAAGGCAAAGTACCTGTCACCTGCCCCAGAACTTGCAGACAAGGGCAGAGAAGGACAGTATCTGGATGGTGCCTACAATTTCGTGTTCACTGGGCAAGAAGGGAACTCTACTCCAGCTCTGCCACTCGCAGCTGTAATCTGGATGGGATTATGCACCTGCCTGAGTCCCTTGTTGTCACCTGTAGGATGAAGTGAGGATGGGAGTGCAATGGATCCTTGAAGGTCAGAGGAGATGTCATATTGAAACCTTTCAAGGGTTGAACTAGGACCATCCACAGGGCCCCAGCCAAGGAAGAGGCCAACTATTACTGTCAGGTGTGGGACAGCAGTGCTGCTCACCATGTAACACAGGCAGAGGGGGAAGCGAGACACAAACCTGCCCACCTGGCCTGGCTCACCTGGCCCCTCCCCACAGTCACATTGAACACGACAAACCATGGAATAGAACTCTCTAGTACTGCCTCAGCCTTTACACTCCTGACAGAAGGGAACAACTTCCTGCACCTCCAGGCCTCAGCACATTCCACTGTAAATGGAGCAGGTCATTCTGAACTATCACCTCCAGCTGCCTAAAGACCTCAGGCACCTGGAAATCCAGCAGCACGCAGCGTGTGAGAACTAAGGGAGAGCCCACCCTGACAGGGTCTCAGTTGGGTATCAGAGGGTAGTCGGTCAGAGGGTGTTTACAGGGACAAGAATCTGTATGGGGCTGTGTAAGGCAGGTCTTTCAAGGAGGGAAACATCTAGAAGTGGACCACATCTGTGAGATAACAGCACAGGATTGGAGACACAGATGGGAAGGTCTAGAACAACTCTTGACAGTAAACTTTGATCTGATAAGTGAGCTGTTTGCACAGATGAGCAAATATTTATCTGAACAATTGGTTTTCAGAACGTTCCTGTCCTCCCAGGAACCTTCCTCCCTTCCTCCTCAGGTGTTGGCCTCAGTATCTGTCTTAGTTATCTAGTGCTGTTATAAGACAAAGAGAACTTTATTCTCTCACAGTTTAGAAGTCTGAATTCAGGGTGCCAGCTCCAGGGAAAGGCTTTTTCTCTTTGTTGACTCTAGGGGAAGGTCCCTGTGATCAATCTTCCCCTGGCCTAGGAGCTTCTCAGCACAGGGACCCTGGGTCCAAAGGATGCATGCTCCTGGCTCTTCTTGCTTGGTGATAATGAGGTTCCCTGTCTCTCTGCTGTCTTCTCTCTTTTATATCTCAAAAGAGATTGACTTAAAACAAAACCTAATCTTGTAGATTGAGTTCTGCCTCATTAACAGAACTGCCTCTAATCCTGCCTTATTAACATCATAGAGGTAGGATTTACAACATATAGGAAAATCACATCAGATGACAAAATGGTGGACAATCACACAATGCTGGGAATCATGGCCTAGCCAAGTTGACATATTTTGGGGGGATACAATTCAATCCATGACAGCATCCCAAGATCAAGTGCTACTTGCCTCATCTCCATAGTGTCTAACCACCTCCTGCTCCACCCTTACCAGGGCCGTCCCCTCCACATGTTCACCAGTCCCTACCTTCAACCCATGATCCTCTGTGGCTCCCTTATCTCCATAGTCTCCACCCTCCTCTTGGCCCTACCCTTCCCAAAGCCCTCCCAGCAACATCTCCCCAAGTACCTCCCTCCCATTATCCTCAGCTGCTTGCTTCATCTCCATAGTCTTCACCCTCCTCCTGAAACTGCCCAGACCAGGGCCCTCTGATTTTCTTCCTCTCAGGCTCCTCCCCCTACCAAAGCCCACCATGCCCAGAAGGCCAGGTCCTGAGACACCATCAGTAATGCAGAGCCTCCAGCTGCACTTTAGGCACAGGCATCACATCAAACACCATTGAAGACGTCAGCCCCACACAGCCAGGTGGGTCCAGTGAACTGGCCTGAGCCCCAGGGTTCCTCTCAGATGCTCCCTAGGACAGCCAGCAGGACCTCTGAGGAGGCCCCAGCTCCACCCGAGCCTCAGATAAGGACTTCTGAAATCGTTCTAGGGTGTTTTCTCCTAGTCACACCTTACTCCGACCGCCCAGTCCCATAACCTGGATAAAGTTTGTTCTAACCCAGTTGGCCTGGAACCCTGGCTCTGCCATTTATCACTGGAATGTGGTCATAGAGTGTGTCAAAGAACAGCCCTGTGAAATTTTAAGCTGGAGAAAATAGTTTTATTCATTCATTCATTCATTTGTAGGGAGTCCATTTTTTGGAAGAGCTAGCTCAGTAATTTATAAAACAGGCATCATTTAAAGGGAAAAACCAAAGTTTGTGGTTAATTTGCTCATTATTCCTCATGGAACAAGTTGTCCTCCACCTCATTATCCAATCCACCAAGGTCACGCCCACCCACTGTGGGAAGCATTCTCATAAGGTTCATGTTGGGTGTCAGCACCTGTGGGAAATGAGCCCTGGAATCAACTCCTTCAGGACAAGCTGTGAAACTGCAGTGCAAAGGGCAGAGGTTCTTCCTTCTTCTGGGGGGACACTGAGGGGATGGATGTGGGGCCTCATAGAAGGTCCCCTCCCTTGCCATGTCCCTATAGATGGGGCTTATTGTGGCTACTCTGGAACTCACCAAGAATAGCACCCCTCAGCCTGGGGGATACTTCAAAGGGGAGAGATTCCTGGGCATGGTCCCTCAGCCTCAGACTCATCGCTCCCCTACTAGGTCCCTTGGCCTGGGAGAGATGCCATCTCTGAACACACCAGGCTGGGCCTAGTGTGGTTATTTCTAGACACACCCAGTGGCCCTCAGGGTTCTTTATTAACTCTGATTTCAGCTGGGAAATGGGAAACCAGACCTCAGGGACCCAGGGTGTTGAGGCTGCAACTCCCAAACCTCACCTGGTCAAGAGACTGGAGGTCTTCACTCCTTAGAGAAGGGCCTCCTAGGAGGGGCAAGGGAGGGATTGAGGCTGCAGACATGGTCTTCAAACTCCTTTGCTCTCCACCCTCTAAAAGAATTTTGAAATACTGTGCACCCCCTTGCAACTTTTTAGGATGACAACTAAACATTTCCAACAGTTTCTAAAATATTCACATCACCCTGACACATATTCAATGCAGGATGAACATCATAATAATTTGATGCCCTTTTTAAAAATCGTTTTTAGACATTCTCTTTTAGCATTTGGAAAATTTACACTTCTTCTCCTTCAGTGTTTTCTCATTCCACAACCCCACCTGTCTTTTATTTGGTCATACGTTTTTATAAGAGTACCTCGGTGGTAGAAACAGTTAGGCACTCAGCTATTAATGAAAAGTTTGATAGTTTGAATCCACTCAGAGACTCCTCAGAAGAAAGGCCTGGAAATCTATTTCTGAAAGGTCACAGCCATTGAAAACTCTACGGAGAAGTTCTACTCTGAAACTTAGGGAGTACCCACGAGTCGGATTTGACTCGATAGCAACTGGTTGTTGTTGGTTGTATATATTCTTATACTTGAGAGTCATTCATTCATTATTCTGTCATAGTCCTCTGTCATAAAAACAAGCATATAAATTTAAATTGTAAAATATGTTTCATTTGCTGGAACGATAAGGGTTAAAACTTTTCTTGCACATTAATCATCATTATAATTATTCTTAGTCAAATGTGATCAGAAACAACATCAACATGTTAAATTGTCATAAAGTCTCACTAAATATCATTACTTTGTGTATCCATAGATTAATATTGCTTACAGGGAGAAGCAGGCAGCCGTCTGCCTCAATTCTCTTCTTGCTTTCAGTTTTATAAATATAAGCATATTTACTTTTTCTTGTGAATAGGATTTTTATAATATCAGTGTCACTCAATCATGTAAACTCCTTCCTAGCTAAATACCAAAAACTGTATACTGGTCAAACATCAAAAATTAGTTTCAATGATATATCAGCAGACAACTCTATTAAGTACTCTGTCCATTTAGTAGAAAGGAAAAAGTGAAAATGCCCTGACTTCAAGAGGATTCCTGGAGAACATTGTGATCTGCCAGAAGGGCCCCTACTGGACTGAAACACTTGTTACCCCACAGGAAGAGCAGATCCTCTCTGGGTTGACTCCAGGCAGAGCAGAGAGGGGACAGAGGACAGAATAAGGAAATGACACTCTCACAGGCCAAAGCCATGTAGGCCATAAAGGTGTGAAGGGTCTCCTTAGGCTTGGGGAGGAGAAGATGGTAGAGCTCAGGGAGTGCACTGAAGAGGAGGTCCATCTCCTCTCCCAGCTCAATCCCATGACCAGGCTCCAGGAGGATGATGGCCCCTCTGAGCCAGACCTAGGGCAGAGGGGTTTAGGACAGCAGTCATGTGATCAAACCCCAGAGAGGTGGCTATGACCACAGAACTTGCAGCCAAAGCTGATTTTTCCAAATGAAAGCAACTCAGAAGAAATTGATGGAAATTTCACCCCTTCCTCTCTGGCCTGCCCCTTACTACCAGTTTTAGGGCCCCTCAATTG